TACTAATTTTGTTAACCTTTTGGTCCAACGAATCGCATAATAAACACGTTATACTGATCTCTATTATATCCATAACTGTCGCAAATGCCAATGAAATTGTAAACTCTTTAAGTGAACTAAATTTAGACATTAATGCGAGTGTATATATGCTTAACATTATGTAAAACATTGAGTTTATTATCTTGATAATCATTGTCAAAGAAATTTTATTGTCAATGATTTTCATTATTTCAATCATTTCAATAAGTAATGTACGGTTTGTTGCTAGTGTGTGAGACCTACTTGGTGATTGATATCCATATTGACTGCGAAATGAAAACATACTAGTATCTGTAATATTAAGCAAATATTTTGTTAATTTAGTTTATAAAATACAAAACTAATTTTTTACAATTAAATTTAGCAAGATTTACGCAAATTGATTCCAAATGTTGTTCATTAATAATAATTATTATCCAGATTATACATGACATTAGCCACAGTGTATTGAAATGAAAAAAATTTGAAATTAAGCTTAGTGTTAAAATGAATGTTGATTTTGGATATATTGAAAATATGATGACAGATATGATGGTACAACCAAACCATAGCGTAATTATCAATTTGATTTTATTACAAAATTTAATACCATGAGTTATCTTTAAAAATCTTGAGATGATTCTAAAATCTATTTTAACATTAAATGTATATAACAGTGATATATACCTGGCTGAATGTAATATTGATAATATAAAGTATAGAAAAAGCATATATTTTGGTACAATATTATTAGTTGTATCTGGTGTATCTTTAATGCTAATGTTCAAGAAAATTATATTACTTAATACATTAAACAACAAACAAATATATCCATAATATTTAATAATGTTACATTGTTTAATTTCAAAATTGTTATTAATTGAAAGCCCATTAAAAGTCACACCACATATGCATTGAAATATAAAGAAAATTTTAATCATTAGTTGAATCAACCATTTCATAGAGAAATACATTGTAAATTAAATATATTTAAATATAAATCTATTTGTTGATACGATGTTATGTTTAACAATAATTGTTTTAAAATATAGTTAAAAGGACTTGTCATTTAAATCCTAAAATATTTGCAAGTGTTTTCATTTGAAAAGTTATTTTCTTTCATTATCAACAGTTTACCTTATGTTTATTATTATTATTATAATGTAAAATTTTAATCATGACATTTTTTATAAGTTTGTTAAGATTTTTTGAATATATTTATATTTTATAAATAATTTACATTGCTTATTAAAATGAAACATTTAATATTCATTATATTCATAACAAAAATAAAAATAATACAATTTATTTATAAACGCGTTAAACATGTCTTATTTTAATTTGAATGTTGAAATATAATAAGTATTGCAATTATGATAAATACATTAATAATCTATTGAACGTCAAACACAATGATAAATTAATTTATGAATAATATAAATACAATAGGCCTTTATTTATTAGAATATTTTTCAATTAACTTAATAATAATGTCAGTATTGTTATGAAAAGTTGATTTATGCTGAATAAAATATTTTATATACAAATTTGATAATAAAAATTTGTAAACAAAATAATTAAGCTGTCATAAACTTATTTGTTAAATTATGGAAAAACATATTTTGGTACAAATATATTTATGAATTCAATGTTTTTATAAAATGTTTTCAATATTTATATTTAATAAAGACATTTGCTTTGATGAAACTATTTTTTTGCAAAAGTGATTATTACTAATATTAAAATAGATTTTAAAATTTGATTTTCAATTGAATTTAAGATAAAATACAACACAAAATATTGTTTGTGTCCAAATATTCAAATGTTTTATGAGGTTTGAAATAGGATAACCGTATAATACAATACGAATGTGAATATCTGTAATAAAATTCAAAATTAAATTATTAGAATAATTAAACGAAATATCATAATTCAACATCTAGGCACTAAATCCATATTTAATTTTGACCTTAGATATTTTGATGCTCATTTAATTTTTTTATATAATAATTCAGTATTTCTATATAATTCATTCAACAAGTATATAATGAATATGATTTTAATTTATCAAGCTAATTATTTTAATTTGATTAAATATAATAATTACCGAAATAAGTGTGGATTTATTGAATTTAGCGAACCCTCCGATTGTGAACCCAAATGTAGGCCTATTTTGTAATAACTGGACAAACATTTGCCATTCCCTAAACTCCATGTCCGACATTTCATTTGCATTCATATCATTCAAAACAATACTAATTTTGTAAACCTTTTGGTCCATAGAATCGCATAATAAACACATTATTATTAACTCCGATATATCCATAATTGTTATGAATGCCATTGTAATCGTCAACTCTTGAAGTGAACCAAATCTCGACATAAATACGAGTGAATATATACTTATCATGATGTAACCCATTGAATTAATTATCTTGATAATTACAATCATTGATATTTTATCATCAATTTGCTTAACAATATTTAATATATATCTAACAAACTCTCGACTAGTTGCTAGTAAATTGTAATCTTCTATTGTACTTGATACATCATTTATATTTCTATGTGTTAGCTGCCGATCTGTATATAATTTAAAATAATGTTAAAATATTTGAATGTCTCATTATATAAACTACTAGTAATTTACCTTTGTTATATTTGGATAGATTGTAACATATGTTTTCAAAATGTTTATTATTTATAATAATTATTATCCAGATCATAAATGAAATACACCACATTGAATGGTAATGAAATATATCAGAGATAACTAACCATTTTAACTCAAATGTAAATCTCTTTGAATACATTGCGCCCACAATAATAATCATTATTATATAAACAAACCATAATAAAATCATAGATTTTATTTTATAACATAATTTAATACCCTGATTCAATTTGAAAACTTCAGATACTAATTTATAATTTATATAATTGCGCCCACAATAATAATCATTATTATATAAACAAACCATAATAAAATCATAGATTTTATTTTATAACATAATTTAATACCCTGATTCAATTTGAAAACTTCAGATACTAATTTATAATTTATATTAACATTTAGCACATATAAAATTACTAGATTATTAACTGAATATAATATTGATAAAATAACATAAAAATAAGATATATATTTTGGTATATCAGGGCCAAAAAACGTATAAGGGTTCATCAAATTATTAGCAATATGACATAATATATGAAACAGTATACTGACATAACCGTAGTATTTTAGGCCATTATTTTGTTTAACTTCAAAATTGTTGTCAAATGAAAGACCATTGAATGTGATACCAATTAGCCGGTGAAAATAAAGCAATGTTTTCAATGTTAATTTAATAAACATTATGTTTGTGAATTTCATTTTTAAATTTTGTCCGAATTTAATCATAAAAACCTTTTACAAAAATAAGATATTTGTAAACTTTATTTAATTTAATATTATATTAATAATATTTTATAATTATATCAAAAAATATAGTCATTAAAATAAAAACTATTTTGATGATGTTTTAATATTTTTAATATTATTAAATTCAAAAGTTTCTATACAATTATTAAGATTAAATCAATCATTTATAAAAATAATGTATTTTATTATATTTATCAGACAATGAAAACAAAAAATTATGTTTATAATAAATGACAAATTATGTATTATTAAATTTTAATAATCTAGATGACGACATAATTATACTTGTCAGGAACACTTGACAATATTAATGTAATAGCACAATATGCTATAGTTAATATTGCGAAAAATTATCATTTTATTTTTTATATAAAAATGTACATTTATTTGTAAAATCAGATGTGTTCAAAAAAGTATACAGTATACTAGAAATATTATACAAGATCATTTCAAATAATGTAATGCTATTATATTGTTTGAAAGAGTATAACCGTATACGAATTATACTACAATATATTAAAATAAAATTTCATTTATCAAATGTATATGAAATTAAGATAATTAACGTAATATAATCTTAATTTATAGTACATTTAAGTCCACTAAACTAACTTACTTAATTGTTAATGTTGATTAAATGCCGATAATGTGACCAACTTTTACCTCCCGGGTGTCAACGAAAGCAGTTCAACGGCACTTCGACAGGCTTTCTACGGCCTGTTCGGCGATATTTTTATCAATTGTCTGACTTATCTGTTCACTAAACAAATGGCTAAACATATGATAAATAAACAAAACGTTTATTTCTATGAACTCACGTATCAAATGTCACTATTTGTACAAATGTTTGGTTTGGATGAGGAAACTGTGGGTATTATTCACGGAGCGGATATACCCTTTGTGTTTGGTATGCCTGTCCTTCATCCAGAATTTTCTACACCAGAAGACGTCGATTTTAGTAGACTAGTCATCAAATTGTGGACTAATTTCGCCAAATATGGGTATTTGCTAATTGATAACATTACTCTTTAAAGCAATATGATTTTTGAATATGTTTTATCTGGAAACATTAATTATTATTTTTATATGTATAGCAAACCGGACGAACAATGGCCTAAACTATTGGGAGATAATAATTTGATTTCAGTGAGGGATTTGAATCCAGGTCATATGGATCGGGTATATTATAATCCCTTTAACACAACCTGTGATGGATTTTGGAAAGACTATTATTTGTAATGAATCTCCATGTTTTATTAATTAAATAGATATTTTTAGCTCAAAAATAATATAATTTAGTTTATTATTGTTATATCTATTAATATTTTAATGATTTTGTTGATTATGATATTACATTAAAATAATTATATAATATTTTTATTTCAATTTGATTTAATGACATGAAATTATGTTTATTTATGCAAAATTTAATAGTATTGTTTGAAATATAAAATAATAATAATAAATTATATCCAATTTAATTGATTGAAAAATTTTAGTAAACATAATTAAATAGATCGTTATTTGTACTTTTGAATTAATTGTTTTGCACTAGTTGATATAAATACCAAAATTATTAATATAATATTTAGTATTAGATACCTTATTATAAAGTACTACATATTGACTTTATCTATAAGTTTATTATATTTTATTTTTAACATGGTTAACACATTTATTGTCAAAACATTGTTATTCTATTATCGCATTTGTGATAACAAAGTGCCATATTTGCTATTTTAATTTATTAGTTACGTGTAAATTGAACAAGCATGAATAAAATTATAATCGCAAAAGCATTGCTTTTCTATTATCGCATACATGGCGTTACATTTAGTGGATTTGTGGTCAATACAAATGTCCATAAAAATAAATACATTAAATATTGCGGAATGTTGCATATATTATGCTTGGTAGCATTTTATGCATATTATAATTACATGAGTTTTAGCCAAAATTCTGATATTTTTCAAACTGATATTGGTAGCATGTCATCTGTTATCATTGTTGTTAATGTTACAGTATTATTAATGTCAATTCATCATTTAATTATTATTTATACATTTAACACCCAAACTGGTTATGAAATAATAGTATTATTTATTGAAAATTGCAAGTATTTTATACGACATAAATTGGGTATTAAAATGGTATTATTGCTACTATTTTGGTCATTTGTAATGTTAATAATATTGATATTGGCTATATTTCTCATAATTGTAAACTACACTAAAATGCCCATTCATTGGATTTTTTTTGTATTTTGTACGTATCAGTATTATATACTTAAATATATGGTTTCATTTATTACCTGGTTCACATCATTTTATGCTGTCGAAATTATCAATGACATCAGCAATAATATTACTGATAATCATCTCTATGATAATCAAAGTTAGTTTATATATTAGTTATAATTTTAGTTATTACTACATTTTAATTAATAAAAATAAGCTACTTACTAGTTTCTAGTTACCATTAAGCTAATTACTAGCTACCACCAGATACATAATTAGTTATGTACTATAATTTTAGTTATGTAGTTTAATAATGTCTATATAAAAATAATACAAATTTATAATTAAATCCTAATTATTAATCCATTTATCTAGGTAACAGACTTGTTTTTCATAGGAATGCCAATCAAATTGAACAAAATAAAACAAGATTTGTAGATCTCTGGCATACAATACAAAAATTAGATTCACAATTAAATGTCATACAAATCCTTAAGAATCTTATTACCATTGTTTCCTTATTATTTGAAATATACCTCAATATAAATATAATAAGATTTACAAAGATTAGTTATTATCAAACGTATTACATGTTTGCCATTTCTGCCAATGTCATGGAGTTGATTATCTCGTGCCTAATCTGTGGATCTATTGAGCAAAATACTAACAAAATTATAAAAGCCTTGTATGACATAAATTGTGGTCATTTAACGGACAGGGAGTTCAAGGAATGGCTTTCGTTTGCGACTGTAATGCGAAATAC